TTCTATTCTCTAAATAACTTTTAAAAAATGAACACTCCCTGCCTCTAACATTATAAAAACTTAGCTTGTCTAACAAGTAATTGTGGCTGACTCTGTCGAAAGCCTTGCTGAGGTCGCAAAATGCGGCCCCAGCAAGCTCTCTCGACTCAAGAGTCCAAAATTTCCTCAACCAGATCTGTCAAGGCTGTAATTGTCGAAACACCCTTCCTGTAGCCATACTGCCTTGTGCTTAGAATGTTGTGCATGTTAAAATGATCAATAAGCTGTTTACTTACAACAAGTTCAATTATTTTTGAAAATACAGGTACTATGGCAATGGGACGGTAGCTATTTACATCTTGCTTGGCACCTTTGTGTTTATAAATAGGATGTACCTTACTGATTTTCAACACACTTGGGAAAGTCCCTTCATACAAGCACTGATTAACCATGGTGACAAGAATATCCATAAAATAGGTTGCAGTTTCTTTGACAAGATTATTAGAGAAACCAAAATGATCTTTACTAGTTTTACAAGACAAGGAAGACACAATTTTAGACATATCAGCAACAGTAATACATTTAAACTTAAAACTATTAGAAACATCTGCCACAAAACCATGATTCTTTAATAATGACATTGAGTTAGGTACTGAAGCTTCAGCAGTAAAAGATTTAACATGAGCGTCCGAGCCTGTCTCATGTTTATGACCCTTCTCACTTAAATTACTCACAAAAATTCATTGAAATGATCAGGTGATATTACTACTTCATCTTTACTTACACTAGGCTTAGTCGTTTCCTTTACGACTTGCCAGATACACTTGATAGTATTTTTTGAATTAATTATTAAATTATCATTTGATTTTTTCTTTGCCGATTTAATCTCGGATCTATATTCCTTTTTTAACTCTCTATAGGCATTTTTAATTCTATCATTTGAGCCTACAGTGTTACACAGTGAATAAAGAAAATTTAACCTATTTTTAATTAAAGCTAACTCGTTTGTGTACCAACCTTTAGTTTAATTAACATTCAAATCAAGCCTAGGCTTAAATTTCTTAAAGAGGGAAACATATCTTAAAGTAATGGACTAGAGTATCTAGAAAGGTCTTGAAGTTCTCATCAATATCACTGTGAGGAAGTTCAAGCTCCCAGTCAATTTTGCTTATCATAACCTTGAAAATGCGGATGTTGTCTTCACTTATGTGATGATACAAAAGTTGTGGTTTATTTGACTTGCAACTCTTAAAATCCTCCCCATGGATGCAAAATTCTAATGTTTGCCCTAGATGGTCACTGAGATGCATGTTTATAACTCCAGTGGTAAAAACGGAGGTGCCAAACACCAAAATGTTGTCCAAACAATTGTTTTCACGAGTAGGCTGATTTACAGTAACTTCAAATCCGTACATTGAGCACAAATTTAGAAACTGATTTGTTGTGTTGTCGGGAATGTTGATTTTAATATTAAAATCCCCACAAACAATGGAAACTAGACCTAATTTGCCTAAGAACTCAAAAACCAAAGTGAGAGTGTCAAAAAAGATATCTACGTCTGCACTCGGAGGTCTGTAGAGCAAAACCAAAGCCAAATTAAACAGCCAAACCGGCAAACAGGGTGGAGGCGTTGCAGTTTATATCAGGGAGGGAATCAATTTTAAAGTTATTAACTCTTCAATTTCTGAGTACTCGGCAAAACCAGAATTCCTTATTATAGAAATTGGTCTAGCTGGGGCTGACGACCTGTTGTTGTGTGTGTGTTACCGCCCACCTAGAGCAGGACATTTTTTGGATTTTGAAAATGCACTATTAAACTCTTTGTTTAGATACAGTCATGCCTTGATCATGGGGGATTTCAATACTGACCTACTCTCGACAAATCAAAACTATGAATACAGACAACTGACTACACTGTTTAACTCTTGCAACTTAGATATACTTCCACTCGACCCTACACATCATGCTGCCGAGTCTGACACTCTCCTCGACTTGATAGTGGTGTCGGATGCTGCAGACATTATACATCATGGGCAACTTCCAGTTCCAGCAGTATCCAAGCACGATCTCATATTTTGTGTGTTTTCAGTTAAGGCTCCTAAACCCAAGACTAAATTTCTAAAATACAGAGATTTTAAGAACATGAATGTAGTTGACTTTATGGCAGACATTTATGAAACACAATGGCACTTAATAGAAAACTTACCATCAGTTGATGAAATGGTGAATGAGTTAAACACTAAAATTATTAATCTTTTTGACAAACATGCTCCAACAGTAACTAAACGTTTGACTAAAACACGTCCGGCACCATGGATAACCCCAGAAATCCGCAGATTAATGGCTAGACGTGATTGTATTTTTAGGAAAGCTAAACGTTCTCAAAACCAAACAGAAATGGAACAATATCGTTATCTTCGAAATAGAGTGAAACAGCTTTTGAGAAATTCAAAATTAAGACACATCCGTATGCTTTTTGAAAATAAAAATCAATCCTCTAGGGTTTTATGGCGCAATGTAAAAAGTCTTGGGCTTGGGAAGCAGTCTGAACCACAGAGAGTGAATGTCCCTCTCAATGAATTAAACGCTTTCTTCTCTTCATATGGTCAAAATATCGACCAACAACATGTTGTAAATTACATAAACGAAATCAGAAACCTCCCTGATCAGGACCTAGGACATCCTAAGTTTACTTTCAGACCTGTAGTGCAGTCAGATGTTCTTAACGCAATTCGTCGGATTCGTAGCAATGCAGTCGGATCAGATGGCATTCCAATTCGTTTTATAAAAGACATTCTCTTTGCTATACTCCCAACTGTCACATGCATTTTCAACACATCACTAAGGCAAAGTGTTTTCCCTATTTCTTGGAAGTCTGCCCTTATTCGTCCATTAAATAAGATCCCAGCCCCGGCATCTTGCCAGGATTTCAGGCCGATCAGTATATTGCCCGCATTATCAAAAGGCCTTGAAAGAATTGTGCACTGCCAAATGACGGAATTTCTGACTGACAACAACATACTTTGCAGCTTTCAGTCTGGTTTTCGAACGGCACACAGCACAGAAACAGCACTATTACGTGTGACGGACGACATTAGACAAGCAATGGAACGTCGGCAGGGTACAATTCTAACACTATTTGATTTTTCGAAAGCTTTCGACTGCGTAAATCATAATCTTCTTCTGGAAAAGTTAAGGGCCATAGGGTTTTCAAATGGTGTATTGGACTGGCTGGGATCTTATCTGTCAGGCAGGCGGCAATGTGTTGAGGTTGATGACGTACGATCTGACTGGGAGACAGTTACTTGTGGTGTGCCTCAGGGGTCAATCCTTGGCCCTCTACTGTTTGTACTATACATAAATGACCTGAGCTCAGTCCTCACACACTGTAAATACCATATGTATGCCGACGACTTACAGATTTATACGCATTTCTCAGCAAAATATATCAATGACAGTGTTCTAAAAATCAACGAAGACATCGAGAAAATCATTACCTGGACTGAAAAACATGGACTTAGACTAAACCATACAAAAACAAGACCAATAATAATTTGTCATTCACGTTTACGAAACTCAATTGACCTTGACACAGTGAACTCAGTAACTATAAATGGGACAGCTTTACTTTACTATGACAAAGTGAAAAATCTAGGACTTACTATAAACTCGACGCTTACTTGGGGAGATGCAGTATTAGACATACGTAAAAAGGTGTTTGCATCAATCCACTCACTGAAGAAGTTACAGAATTTTTTACCTTTACACATAAAGTTACACCTAGTAAAATCACTTGTCTTCCCTCACTTCACTTACTGTAACTCTGTGATCAATGACATGACTGTAAATCTCGCTGATGCTCTCCAACGCACTCAGAACTACTGTATAAGATTTGTTTATGATCTGAGACGTAATGAGCGCATCACTCCTTTTTATGTTGATTCTAAATTACTAAAACTATGTGACCTAAGATCAATAAAAATTCTTATGATAACCTATTCAATATTAAAAACAAAATTTCCAGAATATTTTTTAAACGACTTCAAATTTGTAGCTGAAGAAAGTGTAAGAAATTCACGTTCTGCTTCAGTAACTTTGCGTATGCCTCATCATAGAACGGCAGTTTATGACAGAGCGTTTGTTGTTTCTGCTTGTCGCCTTTGGAATGATCTCCCTCTAGCCATAAAAACCCTTGATAGCCGTCCCCGGTTTGTGACAGCACTAAAAAATCTGTTTTCTGGACGTATGGCCATGGTTGGTATATCCTAGGCATGCGCTTGGTTGATCACTGACAGGTGTGCGTGTGTGTGTGCTAGTTCTTGCGAGTGTGTGTTGGGCGTGTGCGTGTACGTGTGTAGGTGTGTGTGTGTGTGGGTGTTTATGTAAGGTGGTATGTTTTAAAAGTTTATTGTTTCTTTTTACATTAAATATTGTAAATAGATTATAGTATTTTATTTGTATTGTACATTGTTTTGTTTTATTTGTATGTTTAGATTTGTATAAACAGGTTAAGTGTAAGAGAGGGCCATGTGGCCCTAACTTTGCCTGACTAAATAAATCATTTTCATTTCATTTCATTTCAAAATTATTATTTATCTGTAAGCCTATCAGTTCTCACATAAAAGGTTGAGAAAGTTTAGAAAATTTGTCAATTACCTTAAAGTTGATATTGTTCTTCACGTAAATGGCAAGCCCACCATGCTTGCGTGGACCCCGGCACTAATTCTTCTCATTATAAAATATAGTTGAGTGTGTCAACGTCAATATTCTTTTTTCCAGTTTTTTTTTATGGAGCCAATGAATACAAACCCTTTCATCGAAAAACAATCTTTAACACACTTGATAAATTCCTCTCTTATTTCAGGCATATTCCCTTCAAAATTAAAATTGGCTTAAGTAATTCCTGAATTCAAAAAAGATAATCTCAAATATACATCATTTTCACTTAATACTTTGGTATGACTTTGAATCTATTTTGAAGAAGATTACATAATCAAGAACATAACAATAGGAAACAGAAATGAGTTTTTGCAATACTTTTTTATTTATTGTTCTTTGAGTTGAAAACAACTTTTTCTTTTTCAATATTGTTCTTTTTGGTACAGTGTTTTACAACACTTGTATAACTTGTCAGCTAAAAAGTGTGTTTTTAACAGTCCATCATTCCTTTGATCATGTGCAACAAATCCCCATAGTATATATTCAACTGGCTGGTCATCATTTGGTTGTTAACCTCCGAGTTGCTTGTACAGGGTGGGAACATAGTCATCCCACTGAGCTTGGTAACAATTGCCTCCTACCGGATCACCCAGGTTATATTTTTGAGCAAACTTTCTAATTGAGAAATTTGCTCGGTTGTCTCCAGACCTAAAACAATTACAATACATTTTTAACTCATAAAATTGTATGAATCGTCAACAGAGAGTACTTTAGATGGTGTGCACTTTATAAACAATCTAATTCTCCAACAACCATGACTGAATGTTGACTAGTTGTGGATTTGTCATTGAAGGTTTTATACAATACAATACAAATCATCTTTATTCATCAAGTATTTTCAGGGGTGCCCAGAGAGGGGGTACTGTGGCGCAAGGTGCCACAGGAATTTTTTTGGGGGGGGGGATATTTTATTTCTAGCTGTCATAATGAATGTATAATTGTATATAAGCAGCCCGAAAATGTGTTTCTAAGTAGCTCACTATCAACACCAACAACCTTTTGCCATTCGTAATTAAGATTGCTTCTAAGAATGGTAAAAACGCACCTTGTCAGGCAATCCTTAGTATACCAGTGTCGAATTTTACTTGCTACATATGTTTTGGTGGTTCTTTAACTCCACCATCGTCAGGATTTACAAAAGATCCACTTCTGGAGGATCAATTCACGCGTGTACATTGCCGTCGGTCGGCAGGACTGGAAGTAAACTGAATCAGGTTCAGGTTATGACGGACCGACGTGGTCTCTGGATTGTCGTCTGCATTTTCAACAGCTGATATTGGACTATTGTAGTGACTGAGAAGAGTGTTGAAAATATAATGGGATTCATAATTAATTGAGTGTTTTCACTCAAAAACTTTGTGCTGTCCCCAGTTTTATGTATTTATATATTTTTGTGACTCTGCCTATAATTTTGAAACAAGATACTTTTTGTCAAAGTATTATTAATGCACTTACACACAGCTGTTTGAATTCTTAAGCACTGTAAAAATTAACGTCACCCAATATATTGTACAGTTACAGTACTGAGTTGGAGTAGAGTAATTCACCGAGTATATTGTTTAACGTTTTGAAGACGTTGTCTATTGCAATACTGAGCACAAGTTGGCTGACAATCCAGATTCTGAATCGTCATTTTAAAAACCTCTAATTTGCCCATTAGTTAGATATAATGATGTATTGTTAAATGACGTTTTTTGATCATCAGCAAGTTTGTTTTTCTTTACCTCAAGTTTACTTAATACTTGAAATGCACGTTTTATGCGGTAAAGGGAAAACTGATAAATTGGTGAGGGGAGGGTAGGTTTAAATAGACGGCAGCATAAATTGGGGGGGGGAACTACTCCTTTGGCTTGGGGGGGGGGATTGCGCCTCTGGGTTTGGGGGGGATTGCGCCTCTGGGTTTGGGGGGGATTGCGCCTCTGGGTTTGGGGGGGATGGGCACCTCTGAGTATTTTTACAGCAAATACATGAATTGCATCACAGAAAGGAAAAGATAAACAAAAAATTAGGTATACAAGTATCCTAAATAATAGATTACAAACATAAATTATAACATAACATATTTCTAATAATTTAAATTCCAAAACTCTTCTATTGAATATAATGATTTAGATTGCAAATAGTTTTTCAGTAGTTTTAGGGATTTTTCCATATAGGGAATAAGCTATTACCGTAGTACTCATGGTTACCTGGACCTGGGACCGATTTACTTTTTCGTTTTGAGGTCCCTAGAGACCAAAAACACCATCCGTTTAAATTCATACCGTATGTATATATTTATATATGTGTCCGTTAGCGCTATAACTCGAGCAAAAATCATCCGATTTTGATGAAATTTGGTACAAACGTGTAAACCTACGTTTATTCGAACGAGTTCGCGAACCAGCATGATCGGACTATGGGAACAGGGGTTTATGGGGGTTTTATGGGGCAAAAATTGGTTTTTCCCATTTTTGACCCTAAAAACTTAAAATTTAGCATTTTCTTTCCAAACCATTTTGTAGAGCTTAAAAATTAAATAATTTAGTATATTGAAGCGTTCTTATGCGCCTAATTGTTACGGAGAAAATTCCAAAAAACTGTAAATTTAAAATTCCCATGTTATTCTTATGGAGTATAACCTTATAAGTTATTATAAGTGTTATTATAAGTAACCTGTTGTAGTTTGCTTGTTTATGATCATATTTTGTTTGATCAAATTTGGAAAACGCATTAATTTCATACTAAACTACCAACATTTTACAAAAAACACCTTTTTACCCTCCCTGTTGTAGCAAACCTAAGTACTCGTTAAACTAATGTTATTTAAATAGGGAATAAATGGGATATTTTTAAGGAGACATTTTAGTGTAAATCCAATCAGGCAAATGGAAATTCGCTTAGTCTGCAGGTTTGTTGCGGCGGGGGTATTTTAAAGTTACTGTAATTATGTCTATTGAAAATATTTTTGAGTAGGCTGAATAAAAATTTGTTGCCAATGAAACTGGTTTTTTCTCAAATAACTTCAATCTGTGTTGTTCTACATGCCTGGTGTTTTGTAAATTGTAACTGTGGAAATTGTTAGTTTGTTAATCTGAAGTTTTTTTACTTTTACGTGTAGAATAGTTTCAAAAATGTATAAATCATAGATGGTCATTATACCTAATTTAGAAAAATATTTTTTAACTGATTCTCTTTTTTATACTAAAGATAATTCTAAGAGCTTTTTCCTGTTGACGTAGAATTTTGTCCAGGTTTTTTTTTTTTTTTTTTTTTTTGTGGTACCACCATATAAAGCTATTCCATAAGATACATATGTGTGAATTTATTAAAGCAAAGTAAATAGTTTTAAGAGTTTCAATGCTTGAGACACGGGACATTTGTCGCAAAGCATAAATACCAGCTGTAGATTTTTTTACCACATGTTTCACATGCTTATCCCAGGTTAAATGCTAGTCTAATATTAGACCAACGAATTTAGTGTGCTCCACTTGATTTAATTTTGAACCATTAAGATACAGTCTAACCTTGATATAACGAACCTCGATACAACGAATTCCTTGATATAACGAATTTTTTTTAATCCCCTAGAACTCTCCATAAGACACAATGTATATTTTACCTCTACATAACGAACAAACCATAACAACGACCTTGATTTAACGAATTATTCGTGATTTCGGCTAAAATAAGACACCTCAATATAGCGAATTTATCATTGTCAGAACCTCTACATTGCGAATTTAACCTCTGCATAACGAATTGTCTACGTCTTTCCCTCGATATAACAAATCCCCCACCCCATTATTGTTTTTGAAAAATCTGTTTCTTTATCAAATGAAATGGAAAGGTGAAGTCATCGCTTGCGCTAACATTCGTCTGCTCCGTTTTACACATCTCTGTCTGCTGTCGCTGCGCGCGCTATGTTGCAACTGAGAACTGATTTCATTCACTGAGGACTGATGACGACGTAATGTTTAGTAAGCTGTGATTAGGCGATAAGTAACTATGGTGAATTGTTCAATTTTTGGATAAAGAGAAACCTAAGAAAGAATATAAAAACAAAACCAAAGAGAAAGAATAGCAACATCGTTATTTTAACATTCCTTTTTCGAGTGATTTTATTATCTTTAAGTTGGCTATGATTATACACTTTTATAATGACTTATCTAATAATTTATTGTTTTCAATACGATTTGTTTCAACTAGCAACACCAATGCTATAGTTAATGATTATTATTGACATTCATCTGTTGTGATAAATCAGTACTGTACTGTAAGTAGCCTACTGGCCTATCACGATCAGTAGCTTACAAAACTTTCTACTACTGTTTTGTTTTGTTCTTTACATGGTTCATGACTACGCAATACAGTGTTTGGCTAGGTTTTAGGAGGGTTAGAACAAGCTGTGAATTTAAACTTACAGTTTTTAACCTGTACCAAGGTCAATGCCATTTTCATGATTGCGCAATATTCAAGATCCCTCCCCTTTTTTATGCCGGATAATTTAGGTTCTACTGTACAATTTAAACACTGTACTGTAAAGTATTGTAGCATATGCTACTTTAAGGGCTCGACCAGGTTTAAAGTTATCGACCTATATTGACCGACGCTGGTTCTGAACCTCGACTTAGCGAAATTCCTGCAAACATAACCTCTATACAACGAACCTCGTTTTAACGAAATCCTTGATATAACGAATATTCAGTTCGGTCCCTTCAGATTCGTTATACTGAGGTTGGACTGTATATATCTGGTTGTAATTTTAATCTTTATTGCCTTGTGGAGAAAGATAAAATATTTGATTTATTTGAATTTATTGGTAGATTTTTGTTATTTGTGAATTCATTTACTGACAATAAATTTACAAAAACTTTAGTTCCACTTCTTCTTGAGATTTGCCTGTAATTGTTATGTTTGTATCATCATTTGCATACAGACATACAGATCCTCCAGCATTTACAACTCCTGGAAACCCCCATATGTAGCAAAGAAATAACAAGGGACCCAGTATAGATCCCTGTGGGACACCATATTTTACTGTATTAAAGTTAGACAAGACATTTTGGGTATATGCATATTTGCGATTTGGATAGTATGAGGTATGTCGAATTTGAACACATTGTTTCTGATTGTTTAAATATAATCTGATATAATATAATATAATGATGGTATTTGTTTAAGAGCATCAAGGATGATGGGTTTGGTCTTTAGGCTGGGAAAATTCGGCCTCAACACCCGGACTATGACATTGTTATACAAGTCATTAGTTAGACCGATCCTGGAATATGCTTCCTCGATATGGTCTCCATATCAGCTGGGACAAATTGATAAGCTTCAGTCAATACAGAGAAGATTCATAAGAATACTGGGAGTGAAGAATGGCTATGCCTACAGAGAGGTTCCTATTGCCGAGCTCGAAATCAACCTAAGTTTACCGTCTCTGTCTTCTAGACGCCTGATTGCTGATTTGGTATTTCTCTATAAGCTGATAAATGGAGTTACTGATTGCCCCTACCTGCTTCATCTGGTCAACCTCAGGACCCCTTCACCTACCAGAGCACAATGCCTTTTTGAGCTGAAACTCAGAAGCACTAACTACCTTCGTCATAGTCCTATTCCTAGAATGCTGAGAGCTGGTAACGAGGTCTGCAATCTGGTGGATTTCT